TACTATATAAAAAATTTTATTTGCATATTTTGCATTTTTGGTAATATTAAAATGCACATTTTTTATTTTTGCATTGCACGAAACCGTGGGCTCTAGCATGTACTCACGGTTATTACTCTTCATTGGAGTTTCCATAAATTATAAAGATCATCTATTAATCAAATGATGTCTACAAATAAGGAAAACCCCACCCCATAAACTGTACCCGTTTTAATTTAAACCAATTCTTTTTTTCTTCTTTCCTTTTTTTTTTCTTTTTTGTAATGCAACATACGGATAATAAAAATGAATCAATTAATTGGCTTGATAATGCCATTTCGGAAGAGTATTTTAAATTTTATGAGTACGAAAAATTTCACAACATTAAAGAAATTGGTTCCGGGGGATTCGGAAAAGTTTATCGAGCGAACTGGAGAAGTTCCGAGCAATATTTAGCATTAAAATCGTTTTTCAAAATCGACGATACCACCATAATAGAAATCGTTCGTGAGGTAACTTTTCGAGTGTAACGTATCATGTATTTTCATTCGTAATTATTTCTAATTATAATTTAGCTTAAGCATCAACGTAAGGTCGATTTTCATAATAACGTTATTCGATTCCATGGAATCACAATATCAGATTCAGGTATTCATTCATTCATTTCGGTTATAGATTTTCCAAGCAATTACTAGGAAAATCAAGTTCGGAGAATTTTTTTTTTTCTCGGACCAAGATTAAGATCTAAATCTTCCGTTTCGTTTGAAATAGAAAATAAAAATGACGCGAATAAAAATTACTTGTTAGTCATGGAATATGCTAGTGAGGGTACCCTTAGAAACTATTTAAAGAAAAATTTCAACAAGCTTACATGGGACGACAAATTGAATCTGGCAGGCCAGTTAACTTGTGCAATTCGATGTTTACATGATGAAGGAATCGTGCATCGCGACCTTGTAAGATATAAGTGAAAGTTGATTTATTGCTTTTTAATTTAAAGTATGTTATTATATTGGTAGATAATTTTCTTCTTTTACAATAGCATTCCAACAACGTATTAATTCATCAAAACAACATAAAATTAGCGGATTTTGGATTATCAAAAAGACTTGATGAATCATCTAGGATCCAATCCAAAGTTTCTAAGCTTTTCGGAATAATTCCTTATATGGACCCAAAAAGATTCGATAATCAAAAAGGTATCAACACTTCTCATCAATACATGTTAAATCAAAAGAGTGATGTATATAGTGTCGGCGTTCTTTTATGGGAAATTTCAAGTGGACGACCACCATTCGTTACCGAAGGCGAATCCTATGATTTTTGTTTGGCCATAAGAATTCTACAAGGCCTTCGAGAACAAGTTGTTACAAATACGCCTCCTGATTATGTGGAACTTTATAAAGGTATCTGATTTTTAGGTTTCACGTTATTTGATCATACGATTTGCTGTATTTTGCGTTCAAATCATTATTCTTTCTAATTTATTAACTATCTAAAATTATTATTATTATTATTATTAGAGTGTTGGGATGGAGATCCAAATAATCGACCAGATATGGATCAAGTAGTAACGAGATTGAAAGAGATCGTGAAGACTGCAAATCATCAAATTAATGATCCAGGTCTTAATTTTAATTTCGGCGTTATTTCTGACAAGTTATTTTTTATGTTGCAGTACTTTTATAAGATGTATTCTTCTACAAGTGAACCTGAAGAGTCTTTGGAACAGCCAACTGATTCTTATGCTTCAAGTGTTAGTAATGCCGATTCATTACATGGTAAATTATCCCGGATAATACAAGGTTTTGGTGAGATGGATACAGATGAATTTGTCGCATCTTTCAGTAATGATACATCACGAAATTTATCTCAATCCATTCAGAGTTATGACAAGGAAGAGTCGACTGAATATGTAACAATAGAATCAGATAGGCAACAAGATTCGATTAATATTAATGATGACGCATTGCAAGAAGATCTATCAAAATCCGATCAGACTTTTACAGAAGAGTCAACTGAACTTGCAACGATAGGATCAAATGAGCATCGGGATCCGGATAATATCATATCGCAGGAACATTCATCTCAACCCGTTCAGAATATTGTAACGAGAAGCTCAGCCGAATATGCAACAATAGGATCAGGTGGACAACCGGATTCAAATAATGAGTCAAGTAATAACACGTCACCCAGAAGAAAAAAATCAAGAAAAAAATCCTTCAAAAGCTTCTTAAACCTTTTTTATCGAAAGAGTTTGGTGACGTTAATTGGTGAAACGATAGACGTTATCAGTAAAATGACAAACGAAGTAACATTTGGGGATGAACAAAAGAATGCTTTGATAAACCATTTTAATTTTAATAACATTAATTCGAAAAGAATTTATACCACAGTTTTAAATAATCAAAACAACATGAACAATGTTTTTTTATTGGGATATTTTAACTGTTTAGGAATCGAAACAGACGAAGATCATGATAAAGCATTTAACTTATTTTCTGATGCTTTGGAACAAGGTCACATATTAGCAGGACATTATGTTGGAATATGTCATCTTCACGGAATTGGAACGGTTAAAAACGAAATGTTAGCTTTCAAATCTTTTGAAAAGGTAGCTAATGAAGATTTTATAGCAGGACAACTGGAAGTTGGTTATTGTTACGCAAAAGGAATTGGTGTCCAAGAAGATTTGAAAATGGCAGCTGAATGGTATGAAAAAGCTAGTAAGAATATCAATGGTCGTTCTTATGAAAGGTGGAGGGGTGCCAACTTATCCTCTCCTTAAAGGGCAATTAATAAATCATCGTGATAAAAAAATATATTGGTGCCCATATCTGTCGGAAGGCCAATATAGTTACTCCCATTTCATTGACATCTGTAATTTAATATGTATTGTAGTCATTATGTAAATAAAATCAAGTCATTGTCAAGTTTTTTTGAATTGTGCAATAATGAATTACTTCTTTTGTTGTTATTAAAAAAAAATCCACTGGTCCATTAAAGGTAATGATTTTCTCCAATCCGGTAAAACAATAAAATTTTGTCGATCCGTAAGACATATATTTAAACGGAAAAACTTGACGATTTGAAACTTAATAATCCCATTTTATACTTAATATCATTATGACTTATGAAAATTTTCCAATGGATTTTGAAGCTACCTTTCAACGATACGAAATTCTAGCAGAGAATGAAGATAAATTCGCACAATATAAACTGGCACATTTATATAGAAAGGGGGAAGGAACCGATAAGAATTTAGAAAAGGCCTTTTATTGGTTCTCTCGAGCAGAAGAAAATGGATATTCATTTGCACAAAATAACATCGGTTATTCATATCAAAGAGGTCGAGGGACGGAAAAGAATTTAGAAAAGGCCTTTCATTGGTATAGCAAGGCTGCGGAAAATGGATTTGAGTACGCACAGAATAACCTTGGTTGCTTATATGAAAAAGGTGAAGGAACGGAAAAGGATTTGGCAAAGGCCTTTTATTGGTATCAAAAAGCCGCTGAACGTGGACATGGAATAGGGAAAAATAATCTTGGTAAGTTATATGAAAGAGGCGAAGGAACAGAAAAGGATCAAAGAAAAGCGTTCGAGTTGTACAGACAAGCCGCAGATAATGGATATGTAGCGGCAATGTATAACTTATCCACATGTTATCAACATGGTAAGGGTACAGAAAAGAACTTTAAAAAGGGTTTTTATTGGTGTAAACGAGCGGCAGAAAAAGGTTACGATACCGCACAAGTTAATCTCGGTTGTTTATATGAAAGAGGCGAAGGTATAGAAAAGGATTTACAAATGACCTATTATTGGAACCAAAAAGCAGCGGAAAGTGGCGATGAAGTTGGACTGTATAATCTAGGGGAATGTTACGAGTTAGGACGTGGCGTTACAAGAAATGCAACCAAAGCATTTGAGTATTATAAAAAATCTGCCAAACAAGGGTATATAAGCGCAAAATTTCAACTCGGTTATTGCCATGTATATGGAATTGGGACATTTGTTAATAGAAAAAAAGGATTGAAATTATTTATTGAAGCATCCGGTATAAAGGATTGGAATAAACATGATCTTCTCCAGTTATCATACGGCAGTGATTTAGATAAAGTCACCTATTGGTATCATAAAGCTGCGGATGACAACAATAAAGTTGCATTGTATAAATTAGGTAAATTCTATGAAAGAGGAAAGGTTGTTTGTAAAAACTTTGTTAGGTCATTTGAGTTTTATAAACAATCATCTCTTCAAGGACATTTAAAGGCTTTTTGTAAGGTTGGAAATTATTATGATCAAGGCATTGTAGTTGATGTTGATAAGGCAAAGGCATTGGATTGTTACCGAGTTGCTGCTATAGCAGGTCATGTGAGATCTCAAAAATGTCTCGCGTGTTTATATGAATCAACAGAAGAGGGTATGGAAGATGCTATCTATTGGTATAAGACGGCCTTAGGTAATGGATGCAAAGAAGTCAAGGCAAGATTAGATAATCTTTTAAAACGTCAAAAGAATATCGTGTTTTTTGATTAGCTTGATTTTTACGCGTTGTTCATAAATTAGTTCTTTTGTAGTAATATGAGACATTCGTTATATTTTTATATATTAAATTTTATATTATTCAATTTTCAAAAATCGTTAAAATAAAAAAAGATCATATACTTTTTATGAAAAACAATCTCTTTTACAATGTAATTGAATTTTATAATATTGTAAGAAAATATTTGCATATACCTACTGTATGTAACAATAAAAGCTGGAACTTTATAGATATCACGAAAAGGCCTGCCGTCACGCGAACAGAGACCGCAGTGAACAATAATTATAATCACGCGAATACTAAATAAGCAAGAATGCCAAATTTGTCCATTTCGCCCACGCAGAAAGTTATAAGCAATTGTGAAAGTAGTAAAAAATGTTATCTAAGCATAGCTAAATTGTTATTATGGAGGAGTTTCTTGCGATATAGTAAAACTTCCTGCTCTAAATCATGTTCTTTAAATCTTTGTCAGAAACAGAAATAGATTCTTAAGGGTGTTGAAATAAGGTAACCTTATGCTGAAGGTTAAGTGCGAGATGCTTGGCAAGTTACTTATGATCTAAATTAATGTGTTATAATATAATATTTTGCTTTGATAGGATTATATATCATAGCAAGCCCAAAGATGCATAATTAAAAATAATAAATATGATATCAAATTGCAAACTAATTTGAATATGATAGTAAAAATACAAAAAGATTATATATTTAATGTATAGCATATTGTATAACAAAGTAAAAATGAATAATTGTAATAAGAAAACTGCAATAAAATACTATTTATATAAATTGTTAATATATTTTATTTTCATTTATTAATTATTTAGATAAGCTTATTTTCCATTTATCAGTTATTTATAAATACTTTTAAAATAGCAATTAAATTAAAAATTCATTTAAAATTTAAAATAATCATATAACCAGTCTCTCTATATATATAAAACTTAGATCTTTATCTATCATTAAACCTATTAAGAAATCTTATAGTTTAAAGATTGCTATTTAATTAATTGTAAATCATTTAAGTTTAACTAAATCCTTAAAAACTTATAAAAGTAAGATTAAAAGTTTTCTTTTAAATATAATAATTATCACTTGTTACTCTTAAATAACATAAAGTTAAAAAATTAGTTTTTATATCAAAATTTTACTTTATTTAGCTCAGTCATACAGCTTTTATTTTTATAGACAAAAAATTTTTAACCAATAGAATTTTATGTTTATTATGTCATATGTTCAATAATTTTATAGTAAAAATTTTTGTATTGTACTAAATTGATTAAATAAGCATTTCTATATTTTAATTATATGATGAATTATTTTGATTTCATAACGTAAGTGGCTTAAAAATTTCTTGGTGTGAAAATTTGTTTGTATATATATTTATTAATATATAAAAGATTGTTTTTCGATATGAAATAAAAAAGTCTTGAGATTTAAATTAAGAATTAAAAATATAAAACAATATTTATTTCATATATACTATATTAGAAATTAAACGGTTATTTAACTTTTCATTTTTAACTAGGTCTCTATTAAAATAAATTCAATTTATAATTAAATGACATACCATATTCTTCCGAAAATAAGCAATCCCTGAAAATAAGCAACCCAAATTAACTTAATATCTAAAAATAAGCAACTTAATTAAATTTTATAAAATACCATATACAGTATAAAAAAATTTTTTATTTTTAATGTTTTAATATACAAATCACGTTAAATATGATTGTTATTATTATCTTCAATATCATCTTCAATATTATCATCAATATTGTTGCCACTATCGATATCATTGCTACTATCAATATTATTTTTATCAAGAATCTCTAAATCAGAATCCAAATTGATTGATATTTCACAAGTTTTAAAGGATTCTATAATAATTTTATCAGGAATCCTTTCCCAAGACTTTTTAATTCATGAACATACATCATTAAATCTAGCATAACGAAGATTTTCCTTAGCAGTTTCTTCAGCATTACTATCAGTCATCTAAATATACTATTCTTTACGAAGATTATCCTTAAATAGTTTATTTATTGCAACATCTAGTGGCTGACAAATACTAGTCAACCCACCTGAAATTACTGCAAGATCAAAGCCAATTTTATGAAACTTTTTTTTTACTGATTTTTTCAAATGACTTTTAAAAGAATCATATATAAGCATTACTGGATTTTCTTGAGACCTGTTTTTTATTCTTATATCATTGAAATAATCTACATACTTTACCATTAAATTAGAATCTATCCAACTATTTTTTTAGAACTAAACAATAACATCAGAAGGAATTTATTCTCCGCATAGTATTCTCTTTTCTTTGAAAATATATATTAGAAGAAGTTTGGTCCCATCTATAATAATAAATCAATAGTACTAGTGAATAAATTTCGATTTTATAAAAAAAAAGAAAAGCTTATCTGCAGCACATGTAAGTATAACTGTAAACCTATTTTTTTATTACCTATTGCGCGAATATAGACTGTTTTTTCA